ATGCATCTGCGTCCATTAAGCGTTCAATTTATTTACTCTAATTTATTAACTCTATTATATTATTATCTTTCGGCCCTCTGTAAAACGTTAGACAAAAGCAACCTTGTGAGAGAAACTGAGCGACGGGGTGGACGGGGCACGGCGGGGCTAAGGAGAATGATATGACAAACAGAGGATTTTGTTTGTTCGTATTTAATAGACTCTAACTGAGTCATCCACATCAACTGCGGATGTTGGAAGTCCCTGGAGGAGCCTTACTACTCTGCCTCGGCTGGACGCTAATCCAATGCGGCTTAAATGGGACTGCCAGACTAAAGTACAATACTTAAATAATCCAGGATTAGAAAAGTGGACTGAAGTGGAGGCCATAACCCCAATCCTATCTGCAGTATTAAGGGCACAAAATGGCAAAACAATAACGACGTCGACGCCGGACGTTTTTCCACCTCTGATGGCTCCATCAAAACAATTGGAAGCGTTACAAAATAGAAAATGGCAAACCAAGACAGGGAGAGTAAGTAACACGAAAAAGCACTAACACTTCACTCTAAGAAAAGTAGACTTTCTCCCTCCAATTGCAACATCGTTTTCTCCGTCACAAGAGTATTGGCCAACACTTCCCTTGTTTGCTTGTTTGACTGTAAGCCCACTCTCTTCATGACTAACTTCCTTGATGACATAATGTTCAGAATTGTAAATCCGACTTCCATCCTTGAACCATCTGTACTTGGTAGCAAGGGGGAACGCCTCAGTACGACAATAAAATTCTGCATCACTTCCTTCCGCCACAGTTTGATTGCTTGCCAAACTGTCTACTTTGTGCTGGGGCTTGACTGAAAGACACAAGAAAAACTATAGACGATTTAAAACTGGAAAAGCCTTACATGTTTATCAGAATCCGCGGTAGTGAGCAGATTAATTAATCACCGAATTACCATTTCTTGCAATAACTGAATTCAACAACTATTATCGTTCGAACACTGATTTTTTTGGAGGGGTCGGACCGAAATTTCAATTTTTTTTTTACAACACAATGAAACGAGCTGCCTTTTTTTCAGAGAAGTGCAAACAACTAAAATATTCAGAATACTATCGACAGCAGGATCACTGGCATGCCTGACAGTATCCCGAACAGGTAGATTATCATTTGAGGGCAGTTATTGTAGGGCTCTTTGCCAATGAAAAGGAAGAAGACAGTGCATTGAATGATACCAGAATTGCAGGCTTAATAAGTATAGCAGTAGACTGAACTTACATCTCACTAATACGCCAACGGTATAAGATGTCTTGTACGTGCTCAGTCCTGGAGCAGTT